CTTGTGTCTGTCTTTTCAGCTTCCCAGGTTAGGCAGAAGCATGAAGTCAAGGAAAAGGGTCTGGGTGATGTCTCTGTTTGCCTGGGCAGAACTCCCCATTCTGTGGGTGACTGCTGAATAAGAGACCTTGCTGACGTTGGTGGCATGGGCAGTTGTTCTGTAACTGGCAGATGGTGGAAGCTTTCCTTCTTCGTACTTAGCTGGAACACTGAGCATAGGCATCACCTCTCTGGTGGATTCCTGCTCACAGTTGCTAAGCCTCAGCTTCTACACTTGAAGGGAACACAGCAGCCTCTCTGATTTAAATCTCTTCAGTGTTTGCAAGAAGTTAGGCATGGATACTTTAAAAATAAATGACTTCAGATTCCTACTATTTATCCCCTCTCCAGTCACTGATAAACTGGAACACCCTCTTCCTCTGCTGCCACAGGCTACTTTAATATCCAATCTACAGCAATTCCTTTTGTTTTGATTTGAAATCACATACACCAGGATCCCAGATCCCAGGAGCCATTAATAAAACTCTCTAAGTAGTGTCTTTGAATCTTTTCTATGTTCTGCTCTAGACTTAAATAGAAAGAAGGGGGCATTTAGACACTGTGACACAATCACACAAATCCAAGTTATCTACTAGACTATGAAGAAAGTCCTTCCTTTGCTAAAGTGACAACATTGCATGTAAGTCATGGTCAGTAAAGGTAGCCTTGAAGTACCTCACCAAGATGACTGGGGTGGGAGTGTGGAACATTGTAGCAGATGGAATCCTTTCAGACAGAGACACAAAATGCTGTTCCTGATTGTTTTCCTGGGGGACTGATACCAGCCTTAAGTACCAGGTATGTCAGAAAACAACAGTTTCTACCCTAACTGTACTTAAATCTAGTAAGCCGTTAATGTGTGGCTGTGAAGCCAGCTTAATAAATAATAGTTTCCTTATGTTATAAAGGCATGGTGGGTATGAAGCAGATAATAAAACAAATAGCTGACAAAACACATATGCCCACCCCTCTGCCCTTACAAAAACCTCAACAAAGTCAGAGAAGAAATATGAAAACACATTTTAAAAGCAGCCCTAGAAAGGCAAGGGATATGTGAGTTAGAGAAAACGAAGATACCAGCAAACCAGGATGGCGAGGTATTTGCACAAGAAAGAAAGAAAGAAAGAAAGAAAGAAAGAAAGAAAGAAAGAAAGAAAGAAAGAAAGAAAGAAAGGAAGGAAGGAAGGAAGGAAGGAAGAAGCCAAGTGGGAATAGAGTCACAACAAAAGCTCCATAGAAAGAGAAGGAAGTGGGGAGTTGACCAGCAAGATTGCACAGGGCAGAACAGTGCTACTATTTGCATATGACTTGACATTGAACTCAAGCTGGATCTTAAGGGAGGAAACTTTGCCCCTGGTGGCATGAGGTGGATGGAGTCTTCAGAGGTGATTAGAATGAAATCACTGAGGGAGGTGATTAGAATGAAATCACTGAGGCAGAGCTTCCATTATTGAAAATTTTATAGGATGAGAGAGAAAGATCACTCACACACACACACACACACACACACACACACACGAAAAAAAAAGCCATTGTAATGTTCTATGCTGCTTTAGGACTCTGACACATCATCAGACACATCCTCTAAACTTTGTAACTCTATACACTTAAGCCAAAAGAAACTCTTCTTCTAGGGCTGGTAAGATGGTTGTGTGGGTAAGAGCACCGGGTGTCAAGCCTGATGACCTGAATTAGTTCACTCCAACACATGTGGTGGAAGGAGAGAGCCAATTCCTGCAAGCCACACCCACACAATAAATAAATATAAAAAAAACTTAAACAAAAAACTCTTACATGTTCTGGGTCTGTAGTATGATGTTATTATCACCCATAAGAGGGCTGATATGAAAAATAATTACATCTTCATCCAGGCAAAGACAAAACCTTCTGTCCTCACCATATCTCCACCTACCCTCAGAACCCATGTAGCTTTCTGAAATGAGGTCTAACACTGAAGACTGTTGGCTGGAAGCAAACAGCTCAGTTGCAGCCATCATAGGCAAGGAATGGATGCCCTGTATCCCACCCCCGTGAACCCTTACTCACTAGCAGCCCAACTCCTCTTTTTAAACAGACTTTAGGTGAAAGAAGCAATCAAACCTAAAACTATAGACAATTTAGGAAGCAGTGGCAGCACAAGTTAACATCATCTATGGGATTCTTATATTCCTTACCCTGGGATAGTCACATGGCGCTTGCCTGTAGTCTTACCTTGTAATAATCACATGGGATTTTCGCGAGTTCACACTCGGTTTGCATTTCCTTGGTAAATAACTCAGGCTCCAACTTGAGTTCAGGCATCATCACTGGGCCTTGAGTACGACTCAGCATCTTGGAGTCTGTCTTCATTCTAGGCTTTAAAGACTATTCTTCACTGATCTCACTAAGGTACTTTGAATGCAATCGCTTTGTGTAGTTTGGACTGGGAACCTCCTATCAGCTTTCTTTGTTATCTATTATCTTCTAGACTCTAAAAATCTAGAGTCTAGACTTTAGAGAATCTCTCAATTTATCTCTATTCAAAACTATATCTCAATATGTTTTGACCATTTACTCTTGTGTTTAATTTCTCACTGTAAGCTCTAAGACTTTATCAAGGTATTTTCTATTTTTAAAACCATACTTTATCTTTGTGTGTGGATGTGTGTGTGTGTGGATGTGTGTGTGTGTGTGTGTGTGTGTGTGTGTGTGTGTGTGTGTGTGTGCATGTGTGTGCATGTGCATGTATCCATCCATCATTGCCACACTCTTCCAGCACCATTTGTCATTCATAACCTTCTGGGAACCTGAAACTGCTAACTTCCTCTGGGCTCCCACACCGCTCTGTGCATTCTTGCCTGATAGGATTTCTGGGATTGTATTGTATTTCCTTATATGCATACATTCTCTTTAGGGTCTGGGTTCCTTCTATAGATTAGCTATTTATTGTTGTATTAACAACATCCAATATAGTACCCAAGTTACTACCCACAATTCCTATAAGGTGAGTGAATGACTCCCTAGATTCAAGAGGTAAGTAGGTGTGCAGAGGATAGGTTATACACTGTCCACTTGATGGAATTCAAATCACTAGCAAGTAATGAACATAAATTGAAAAAAAGTAAGATGCCTCAAGTCAGTCTGCAGCTCATAAAGAAGTTATTTCAATATTTTAGTCCAAGTAGGAGATTGGTAATATGGTTTCTTGTAGAAATATTTTAAAAATTAATTGGAAGGGAGAAAAAGGCTGAAGGTTAAAGAGGTCAGTGAGGAGTAAGTGGCAAAATTGGGTCCCTAAAAAAGATGTGAAGGGAATTCCTTGAGGTTGTTAATAAACTCTAATCATCCCCCAGCCTCCTCCCACAGACCCCCCAGGATACACTCACCTTTCTGCCAGCTTTACTCGCCCTCTTTGCAATGTCTCTGCAGTCTGCCTAGAGGCTGGCAGGGTTTGAAGCACAGCAGCAGCATAGAAAAGAGTCACAAACAGTCCCTTTCCAGGAGCCCTTCTTGTTCTCAGACTTCGCGCTTTCCCAGGACTGCTCTTGGTTCTCCATCTTGAATGACCTTTATTGGGAACTCCCAATAAACAAAAGTGTTTCTCTCCAGCAGTGCACAAAAAGTACCACATGGGTTTTCTAGAAAAATAATTACCTACCCATTGCTAAGCTGCAGCAATTAGTTCACTGTTTTCTACCTAATTTCTAGATGTTGGCATTTGAAAAATACCTCTGGCTAATGTGGTTATTAGGACTCGTAGGTGTCAATAAATGTCTGTTGAATGAAGGATTCATTAATATATTTTAATGATGTTGAATGATCATAAATTTCAGTTTAAAATATTCTGAAGGATTCACCTATTTATTCCCTGGTATAATTCATAAACAAACTGTCTAACCACTAAGAAGTAGTTGCCTCTAGTCATAAACAACCAGTTCAATAGAAAATATATATTTGAATTTTTTAGTACTCCAAAAGCATTTATCTCACTCTATACTCAAGTGAATTAGCAAGATCAGAAGTATCCTTTATAGAGACTCTGAAATGGCTAAAAAAGGATCTTCAGTGACTTCAGGAGCAAAATAATTCAACCACCTTTATCATTTTCCTAAGTTATATAAAAAAAATACACATTAGCCTATAAATACTCCTACACCGAAACCTTTCATTTTCAAGCTCTGAGAGCTAGAATTTCTGGCTATTTGGCTATTCTAATTAGTGAAAAATAACAATATCCACACCATCATCAGAGCAGCAATTACCAAATAATAAAATATTGCTAAAAATGCCTTGATCCGTTCAGACGTCAGGTTATGACTTCATTGTATCTCCAGCTTGGTTTATTGCTGAAATTACTGAAAAACTCCACTAGAGCTAAACCTCATTATATCTGCACAGAAAGATGAATTGTACTTTATTAACTCTTAATCCACCCAAGTCAGACATTGTCCCCAGCTTGAGTCTGAGCAGCCAACCTAAAGAGGGAGCCAAAAGAGAGCATATCTAGAGATGTGAGACAAATGAAGTCAAAGCAGACTTTTTAAACCTGAAAGTTCAATATTCCATGTTTGTCAGGTGCACGTGATGTTAGGAGATGCAGCAGATATGTAACAACTTCCACAATAAAGTGATATACCACGTGTGTTCAGCAGGCTTCCCGGGGTCACCGTGGTATTACAAATGTCAACCCTGGTTGGACCCTGATGCTTCTAAACCTATTTTCTTGGTATTCTCTATCCAGTAGTGTCTTTCTACTTCCATGATTGGCTTTTATCTTCTTGACTCTTCTCTTACCAGGTGGTAAGCAAATCCCCGCTGAGTGGTAAACAAACCTTCAGGCTAGGTAGGCCAGCTGGGAGTTGAGCTGACACAGTTATAAAAAGGTCTAAACTCTTAAAGAGATGAGGAATCTTTAAAGGGAGTGAGAGCAAAGCATGGGGGCTTTTTCTTCAGTTTCACCATTTGTACTCAAGATGGCTGCAAAGAAGTCAATAAGAAAGATAGCTACAGGCAATGGAACGTGGAGGAGAGCTATACAAAGCAATGATCTTCAAAAACTCTTTTCTTTGAAAGCAATAACAAAGCCCCAAATCAAATATTATTTCACGGCACCACCACAGTCTCTAGTATTGTACCAATACTTTACCATATAGCTAGGGTACTTTGAAGTCTACAAAATTCTTCTGAATATATTATTTGATTTGATGCTCACAACTTGCCCCTACAACTGTCTTTAATCCCCTCCCCTCCTTTCTCTCCTATTGAGCTCATGGTCCCCCAGGAAAACCCTATCCACCACCATTTTTTTGTGCACACACAATCCAAATTCTTCCCTCTGTTGGCCTATCCAAAACTCATTGTGTATTTAAAATCAAACTCAAAATACAATTGTCTCTGAAAATCCTTCCTTGATAAACCATCATGAGGAACCTGACCTTCCTCTACAGACTATGACAGGTTTCAGACAGAATACAGGTTGTCACTTGATAAAACTCTATGTAGTTTAAAAATCACCCAGAATTTTCCTGTAAAATATTACCACCTTGGCATAAGTCTAATGAAAACAGAAATGAGAATTTAATTTAATTTTATTCAAAATTTGAATAAACTGGGCTTGATGGACTGAATTATGATTGGCTAGAATAATGGTTTGAATCTGAAGTGTTCCTTGTAGGCACATGTGGTGAATGACTGATCCTTGGCTGGCGTAACTATTTGGGGATGGAAGGGAAATTTTGGAAACTGGAGACTAGCAGCAGAAGAGTCACTAGGGGTACACCTTTGAGGATTGTGCCTGGTCCCTGATGCCTTTTGTTCTTTCTGCTTCTGTCAGCCCTCACAATGAGTAGCTTTTGTTCTATGGTGTTCCATGTCATCATGGACTGAGAATCAGTGAACCCAAGGCTATGAAATGAGACCTCCCAAACTGTGAACCAAAACGTAAAACCACCCCTCTCAATTGTCTTTGTTAGGTAGTTTATCACACCTACAAAAAAACCTAATGTGGCCAACTAAAGTTGGTTCCAGGGATCCTTAAGTGGGCAGCTAGGAGCTCTCAGTGCTGGCAGAAGAGGAAATGAAGTTGGCTCTGGGAATCAATGTCTATGGGATGCCAAAATTAGAATGGAGAGACTGTGCATTCCTGGTTCACATCTGTCACTACTTTAAAGGTAGAGATACTGTCTTGTTAATAGAATTTACTTCAATGAATTAAATAATGAATAGAAAAAATTAGGAAGGAGACCAGCCAGTAATTAAAGAATGCCAGCAGATAATAGGTAATTTCAACAATGAATTCCTAGAAGACAGGACCAAGTGAACAGAGGAGAGAAACACTAGGATAAACCCATGTGAGAAGACCATGGATACATTCTGAGACCAAGTTTCCAAACAGATGGTTTCCCAAAGGGAGAAGAATGCAGTGATCCAATAGCTGAGTGAAGACAGAGGAAAGTCTAAGGTGGATAGTAGAGGAATCTGTCTCTAGAACTGCTTGTCTTTGTTTATGGTATGAATAGTAGGAGCCAGGAGATCAAATCTGTGTTTTTATTCATTGAAATTCACAGCAGAAGGAACTGCATATAGCAAAGGGCTCATAATATTCATTCATCTGGAGTGTGTGTGTGTGTGTGTGTGTGTGAGAGAGAGAGAGAGAGACAGAGAGAGACAGAGAGAGACAGAGACAGAGACAGAGATGGCTATCTCTATTACTCTTTACCTTATTCCCTTGAGATAAGGTGTCTCACTGAACCTGAAGATCATAGTATTTCTGGTAATCGGCCAAATATGCAAGCCTCAATAGTCCTGTGTCCACCTCACTGCACAAGGACTGGCGTTACGGGGATGCACAGCCATGCTTGACTTTTACATGGTCACTGGTATCCAAAATTGGTTCTCTTACTTCCAGTCCCCAAGAACAGGGTATTTTATTCTCAGTAGTGGCAAACTCTTACTTGATTGAGCCTTGGTACAAACATATCCTCCTTTTTCCAGGATACTATCTATCACAAAAGCCATTGCTGACACATTGTCAGGGGAACCACACAAGGACATCAACACCAGAATATGAAAATCAATGGCATGTGTCTTAGAGGGTGGCTAACAGAAGTGGTATATAAACTAATAAATCAAGTATATAATGTTTTAATTTTTCAGAAATATTGCATAAATATGATGCCAGTTATACCCTTGAATAATCAATACAGAACCATTGTTTGTAAAGTTTTAAGACTCATTGATTTAAAACAAGTAGTTTTTTTAATTTTTTTATTCATTTTACATACCAATCACAGATATCTCCTCATCCCTTCTCTCGCTCCCCTACCCCCACCTTCCCCGCCTCATCCCCTCCTCCCATGAGGTGGGCAGTGAATTCTCCCATGGGGGTACAGCTAAGCCTAGTACATTCAGTTGAAGCAAGACTAAGCCCCCCTCCCCCTTGCATCGAGGATGAGCAAGGTGTCCGACCATACGTAATGGGCTCCAAAAAGCCAGCTCATGCACCAGGGATAGAACCTGATCACACTGCCAGAGACCCCTCAAACAGACCAAGCTACACAACTGTCTTGCTTGTGCAGAGGGCCTAGTCCAGTCCCATACAGGCTCCACAGCTGTTGGTCTGAAGTTCATGAGTTCCTATGTGCTTGTTCAGTTGTCTCTGTAGATTTCCCTTCATGATCTTGACCCCCCTTGCTCATATACTCCCTCTTCCCTCTCTTTGACTGGACTCCTAGAGCTCAGCCTGTGCTTGGCTGTGGATCTCTGCATCTGCTTCCTGGATGAAGGCTCTATGATGACAGGGTATTCACCAATATGATTACCAGGGTAGGTCAATTCAGGCACCCTCTCATTATTGCTAGTAGTGTAATCTGGGGTCATCCTTGTAGATTCCTGGGAATTTCTCTAGCACCAGGTGTTGCTAGAGTTTTCCTGCCTGGCCCACAGTCTGGACAAATCTCTCACCCGCCAGTCCCAAGCCGCTCAAACCCGATCAAGTAAACACAGAGACTTATATTGGTTACAAACTGTATGGCCGTGGCAGGCTTCTTGTTAACTGTTCTCACAGCTTAAATTAATCCATTTCTATTAATCTATACCTTGCCACGTGGCTTGTGGCTTACCGGTACTTTACATCTTCCTTATCCTGATGGCGGCTGGCCGTGTCTCTTCCCTGAGCCTTCCACTTCCCAGCTCTATTCTCCTCCTTGTCCCGCCTATACTTCCTGCCTGGCCACGGGCCAATCAGTGATTTATTTATTGACCAATCAGCAACACATTTGACATAAAGACCATACCACAGTAACCAGGTTTCTCCCTTAGCCTGTAATGTCCTCCTTTATCAAAATAACTCTTTCATTGTTCTCCCACTCCATCCCTGGCCCAGCTCGACCATCCTGTTCCCTTATGTTCTCATCTCCTCTCCCCTTCCCTCTATTGCCCCCCCATTCTCAGTTTCCTCCTGGAGATCTCCTCTGTAAAACAAGTAGTTTTAAGTCATATATTTTAGGCATATAAATGTGTGTGTGTAGTATCTACATGTGTGTATATGCATGTTCACATATGTGTGGATGCTCCTTGTAAGGGCGCTTATGCACATACTTATCAGTGTGTATATGAAGCCTCTTACTCTATCTGAGGCAGAGTCTCTCACTTGAACCCAGAGCTTGCTGAATCAGCCAGTCTCTCAGGACAGTTTGACCTGGGAGTCTCCTCTCTCTATCACTTGAGCTCTGGGATGCTGGGGCCTCCTCACTTGCCCAGCTGTTGTACAGGTGTTAAGGGTCCTTACCCTTGCACAGAAAGTTCCTTACCCACTGAGCCATCTGAGCAGCCCCTGAGTCATGATTATTTTTAAACGTATTTAGGAAGAAATGGAGTTGTACAATCCATTCTTACCTTAAAATGTGATGGGAAGTTGCCAACCTTTTCATGCCAGCATCAGGAACTGCATAAACGATTGCAAATCACCAAATCATTACAAAGTCCCCAAATCAGAACAATACAACATTCTACAACTTATGTGTCCATATTGGCATTCAAAAACAAATTTCCGTATCCCATACCCATTAAAGATAAAATATAATTGCCCCAACTACATGGAAATTTAAGCAAAATATTCCATTGACATCTCATATAGCTGAGACGGGTTGGAAAATGCAATCTTTAGTGGGCCCAAAGCAAACCAGAATCTCAAAGGTTAAAAATATTTTGCACTCAATTGCTAGTTCACTTCTTGCCCTCTGATAACCAGGAACAAAATTGCTTTTCTGTTGCATAAAGTATCTTTCAAATTCAATTGCTTATCTCCTCATTCATTCAAGAAAGAGAGACCTCAGATTTACAGGAACCAGAGCCCATAATACAAATATAGTATATTAACCATACAGCAGACATCTTCTGAAAAATAACCAAAACACAGTCTATTGATTTTAACCTTCTGTATCAAGGTATTCTCCAGTGGTCTCAACTGGATGCTAGCTATGAGAAATTCCAATTATTTGAATTTCTATATATAGGATAAGCATTTAGTTATCAACACACACCATAAAACATATTTTCATCTGTTATTAAAGCACTATTACTATGTGGAATTGAATGCATTTCTACTGTGAACTCAACTGCCAGCAGAGCCAGCGAAGCAGCATTTCTGTAGGAGATTCCCTTCACAGCCCTGTTTTATGTGCACTGTCCTGTAGCAACCTTTGGATTTGCCTTTGGGTAAATAAAATAAAACTCACTAGAAATAGTTTTGACATCTCTTCGTTCACTCTCCAGCAACTCTTTCTATATGTAATTATTCATTGCTCTGGTTCTCATTAACTGATCAGATGCTACGGGTCGTTTCTCTACAGTAACCCCTGAGCCCTGTCCCTGCCTGTGAGCACACACAAACACTTCAGTCCAAGCCGATCGCTTACAGAATCCTGGGCTCACTTAATTTTAGTAAAATATCAGTGAGACTGAGATGTACCTGACTTCTTATCGCACTGATTCCAATTTTGATTAAAGCAAGTTGGCAGACTAGGAAACAGAGCCAAATGAAATGTATTGCCACGATGGCCTGGCTGTTAGTGATGCCAGTGTTTGCCGCCATCTCCTAAAGAGCGCCGCTGCTCTTCATGGTTCACAGATTAGCAGAATTGGAGCAGAATAGAAAAGAGAGATGGCTGAGAAAGCCAGCAGGAGAAAGAGGGACTGGTTTTATCAAGAATAAAAAAATAATCTAATTCAGTATCCACTTCCTTCAACAACTGAGCAGCTGATTTCCAAGAGTCAGTGGGTTTCTCTTGTACTTCTGAACAGCTTGAGAGTTGGGGGAGATGGGAGCGTGTGGGAAGTTTGGGAGTAAAGAGAGAGAAAGAGGAAGCGCTGTGATTATATTTTAATTTCAAAGATATAAACATTAAAAAACAAAATAGTAAAGCAAATTCAGATATATACCATGTGACTTTCAATTTAATATAAAATTTTATAATGCTCTCCTAATTTTTTTTCTGTTGATAACAGTAGAAGCATTTAAAAAGTAAGAATATCAGAAAGTCATGCACAATTCCAGAAACTACCATAATAAATAATATGTGCATATTTGTGCAGTTTTTCATTCATATATTATTTGCATGGCTGAAATAAAGCTATTCATGTCATTCTATAGTCTACATTATTAAATAGTGTTGATTATTAGCATTCCCTCATGATCTGTCTAATTTTTAGCAGTGATATAATTCATACATAAATGCATTGTAAATTTTCTGAGCACTTTGGTTTAGTTTAGTGTAGGTATAAATGTGATGAACGACTTTGCAAACACATTTTGGGGTTGTACTTGTAATTGTTATCTCTGAAGGAATTTCTGTATTCATATTTTTAAGATTTATTTTTAATTATGTGTATGTGTGTCTGGGTCTATGTGTAGGTTCATGTACTTGTGAGTACAGTGCCGAGGGAATCAGAAGAAATAACCAGATTCTCTGGAGCTGGATTTACAGGAAGTTGGTTGTGAGCCACCCAACTTTGAGTGGTAGGAACTGAACTCAGGTCCTACGCAAGAGCAGAGCATATTCTTAATTGCTGGGCTACCTTTCCAACTCCTGGACTAAGAATTTTTAACATTAATTTATTCATATGACTATACTCTTTGATTCAATTAGTTCCTGAGGAAGTAATTGAAATTTAAAAAATGTGAAAGTTAATGAAGACTGTATTCCCCTTTTTGCTAAAGTCCTTGGTATTCTTACTTTACTGGATAATCCTTTATTGAGCTGACATAAAACTCATAGACATTGAAATGCTCTAGTTTTTGCAGTCACAGCTTGATGAGCTGACAAATGCATGGAGCCACATAGACAGACCCACATCAACTCATAGAAATTCTACTCCAGGAAGATGCTGCTGCTGTGACCACTGCGTCACCTCAGGTTGTTCTAGATTGCTCTGCACAGTGTAGCTTGTCTGCCTTCGTTACCTCACCACCACGGTTGTGGGACTCAGTCATGTCTCAGCACATAGAACAACACTAAATTCACTTTTATTATTGAGTGGTTCTATACAAAAACTAAAATAGGTCTATCCATTCTCCTGCTGATGAAAATGTGGCTTGTTTTCAGCATTTGCTTTTGTGAATGAAGCTGCTAGGAAGTTGCTGTCAAGTCATTTGAGATTTACCCATTCATTTTCCTTGGGCAAATTTGAACTGTATAATTTCTGAGTCATAGAAATCACATTTATCTGTGAAAGAAACCAACAAGCCAAATTCTAAGTGGTCTGTGCTGGTCTCCCCTCTCTGATAACAAGTGAGTTTTAACTGCTCTATGTGCTCTCCAGCCTTGAGGACTTACGTTCCTCTTTATTTTAGCTTATCTAGAGATGTGAGTGGGCATCTAACTACAGCTTAGGGATCCCTGACCATAAATGTGTCAAGGAAGCTTGTTTTAAGCTTATTAAAATGTCTCAAATATCTAAATCTTTGATCAAGAACTTTTTTTGAGCAGAAGTCATTTTATATAGATTCAAACCTATGTTTAATGTAAACTTATATCTTATCATAGTCCATTATAGCCCATTATTTTCATTCTCTCATTACTCCATCCTTGTTTTGTTTTGTTTTGTTCTGTTTTGGTTTGGTTTGGTTTGGTTTGGTTTGGTTTTAGTTTAGTTTTTTTGCCCTTACATTTTCCACCATGTGAGAAGGTGACCAAAAGCCTCTCACCAAACACCACCAGGAAGTGCCCCATAATCTTAGGCAGAACTTTGAGAAACAACTGTCTGTTCTTGATAAGTTATCTAGGCCTGAGCATCCTGCTACTGAAGTGTGAAATGGCTAAAACACCCACCCAGTACTGTACTCTAGAAATCATGTAAGGTTAGAGTTCCTACTATTAAAGTCTGAGATTCATCCAGAGTTCATTGTTGAATCCAGCACAAGAGACACAGACATCTGGCTCATCAGGAGCTCCTGAGTCAGAAGCATCTTTTCCCCATGGAATTGTTTTAACACCTGCCCTGAAAAATCAATTGTGTATTAGTGTAAGTCTGTCTCTATTCTGTTCCATTGATTAACCAGGAGCAGTGTAAGGCAGCAGTTACCCGATTCCAGAATCTACAATAACTGTTTCTCTTCTGTCTCCTGAATCTCTGCACCAACACTGACATTCCCATGTCCTGATCCCACACGGGCTCCCACGGAGTCTAACAATCCATTACTGTAAAAGCCAGAAGCAAACTATTCACTGAAGTTACTGCTATAATGGCATGCCTAGGCCAGCTGCACTATTCAGCTCCAAAATTTTCTGTTAGAGTTTCCCTCTCAGGACACTTCTGCCAACACCTGGACACTATGAAACACAGATTTATCTGCCAGGGGTCTGTTGGAAAATGATGGCTCTGGGGAAGGAAGATACAAAGGAATGGAGAAAAGTCTCTGGTTTAGTTTTAAGAGAAGTCTCAGTCCATTCCCACTCTGTGGATGACTCTTGTAAACAGAGGCAGAGTTTTTCTGTCCCAACCACCCAATCCCAAATAGACACACAAAAGCTCATATTAATTACAAAATTCTTGGTCAATAGCTCAGGCTTGTTATTACATAACTCTTACATTTAAATTAACCCATATTTCTATTTATTCTTTGCCACATGGCAGTACTTTATTAGCATGGCACATTCATTTCCTGCTCCCTCTGTGTCTGGCTGGTGACATCTCACTCTGCTCTTCTTCCCATCATCCTTAGTTTGGCTGCCCCACCTATACTTCCTGACTGGCTACTGGACAATCAGTGTTTTATTAAACCAATTCCAGTGACAAATCTTTACAGTGCACAAGAGGATTATTCCACAACATTTCCCCCTCTTTGTCTAATTAAAAAGGAAGGTTTTAACTTTAACATAGTAAGATTATATACAACAAAACAGTTATTAAGTAAGAACTACAGTAACGCTATCTAATCCATTTGCATTTAGCAAAATTAGAGAAAATGCTTAATTATCTATCTTATCTCAGTGAGTCTAAAGTTTTATATCTAATTTACTTTTAATTATAACTAAGGAAAACTATAATTGTAGCTATTTAGTCTCCAACTCCATCAAAGACCCCAGAAGGATATAAAATTACCTGAGTAAACAGGAAGTGCAGAGTGAACAACTTCTAAAATTAAGAAATAACAGAAACAGCTGGCTGCCTGGACAGTCACCCAAGGTTCCTCTGAAATGATGCCACATCCATCTTCAGCCTACAGGCCTAGAATATCTGACAGACTTTTCTGTGAAGCAGGATTTTTGAAGGACTGTCCTACCTTGTCTTGGCAAAGTTTGGCAGTCACTTTCTTCAATGTCCTGCTTATCCAATTTGGATAGCATACTGTCAGCAGTCAAGGCAAGGGCAGTTTCTTGCCCATTGGATAATTTTTGCCACAAGGAAAGTAAACTCCATATGGAGTTTCTTCAATCCCTATCATCTTCTCTGAAGTAGACTGGTGCTGCCAGGAGCAGGCATGTCTCCCTGTCGTGAAAAGCCTTAAGTTATTAAACATGTTAAATGCCATATTCTGTAGATCATTGACGTGTTTGAAGATTATCTATCTATCTGAAATATATTTTTGTATACCTAGAAAACCTGACTAGCATAACTATGAGTTTGACTATTATAAATGACTATTAATCTGGATTTCTTGATTATACATTACACTTTTAATTGAGCTGTATAAACATAATACCTTAAACAAGAGTAGAAATATACACACAGTATAACAAAATTAACTTTAAATTTGTATCAATAAACTAAAATCCATAACAATGTGAAATATTTTGAGATTAACTGTGGTCTTTTGGATTAAAGCAGATTCAATAATCTACCCGTTTTCCCCATCATTTCTATGTCAGACTCTGAAGCTAGGAATTCTCTTGAGGTTTTTATGATATTGTGGCAAGGACAGTGGAGCACTGAAGCTCAACATCAGTAGTTACTAGATGTTTATGGCACTGGGAAGGGACAGAGGCCTAAGGTGAAGCAGCTCACATCTCATACACAGTAACTCTCCCCAACGAAAGTGCTGACTTCCATTTCTACAGAATTGAAGAAAATAAGTGTAAAACTTACTATCAACTTTTTGGATATATGTCGGTATGCCATGCCCCCTGCCAATTAAAAGACACAGAAGGTGATACAGGGAAAGGTGGTTTAAGCCTCTAACTGAGACTGGTACAGCCAAAGACAAGACCAGAGAAAGGAGCAGTTTATTTGGGATGTTTTTGTTTTTGTTTTCTTTTCTTTTTTTTTGGTTTTGTTTTTTGTTTTGTTTTTTCTGGATGGACTTTTAGGAAGTACAAGGGAGGGTAGAGGGAAAGTAAATGACAAGAAAGATGATGAGAAGAGAAGCTAGTAAGGACTACTGTAGAATAGTAGACATATGTTTATGGATCTCTACAGCTAGACAGTAACAGAGTTTGTAAAAGCCTTGGAAATAGGGTGTGGCCTTGTTGAAGTGAATATGGCCGCGTTTGAGGATGTGTGTGACTGGGGTTGGCCTTAGAGGTTTCAAATGCTCAAGCCATGGCCAGGGTCTTTTTCCTTCCTGATGCCTGTGGATCCAGATACAGAACCCTCAGCTCCTCCAGCACCATGTCTGCTTGTGTGCTGCTATGCTTCCTGCCATGCTGATAATGGACTAAATTTCTGAAACTGTAAGCCAATCCTAATTAAATGCTTTCTTTTCATGAGTGGTCATGGTCATAGTGTCTCTTCACAGCAACAGAAGACTAAGACAGTCACTATGTAGTCACTGGCCTACCATCCAAATCTGTGCAAAGAACACTCTGATGCTCATATGATAAAATCAGCTAGGATCAGATGTCTCAGAATGAATTAAGTCAAATGTGAATGTTAAGATCATGGGCCTCAGTTCTCAGTGCAAAGCTTCTAAATTCCTTGGAATTTCTGACTGATCTCTTATTCTAAAGAAACAATACTGGATGGGCTACTGAATGGAGCCTGCACACCAGAAGGCAGGTCATGATTAAAAGCTTGAAACTTCCAGTTCCAAGGCTCTATTCTTTAGAAATGGGTGTAAGGAATGGAAATGGAGCTACCAACTCCATTGGCCTCCATAAAAATCTCCAAACTACATGATTCAGGAACTTCTTGGCTAGTGAACAAGAATACATTTACATTAATGTATAACAACTCCTAGTAGACCCTAACCTCATCCATTGCATATTTTCACTTACATTCTTTAAAACAGTCCTTGTGTAAAGCAAGGGTAGTAAGCAAACTGCTTTGGAATCTTTGGGCTGCTCTAGTAAATCGTCAAGCTCAAGAAGAAAGCTGTAGGAATCTCAGTTCTGAGCCAATTCAAATGGAAGTTGTAGATGACCTGGGGCCCTGCAACTTGTAATTAGAATCTAGAAGTGGGTGAAGTTTTGTGGAACTGAGCCTTTAGACTGTGAGATCTGATGCTTTCTCAATGGAGAGAGAATCACAACTGAGCTAAATTTTAGGGAACCTAGATAGTGTTATGAAATTGTATGATGTGGAGGAAACACACACATATCTGCTTTCAGAAATGAACTATTAAGAACGGTGTGTAGATCCCCAGCCCCAACTCTAGCAGGCACCCTCTCCTCAACCACAGGCCATGCCTGCCGGAAAGCTAAGTAGGCTACTTTCAGACCATCGCCTCTCTCGCCCTCGCTCTCTCTGCTCCCTCAGACCCAGCTCTAGTCTCCTCACCAGCTCTTCATCAGAACACCCATAACAGTCTTCCCCAACCCCCAAACCCATCTCCTTGGGTCCCACAGATTTTCCCCTTCTAAACTTACTCTCCAGTCCTGTTGCTTGCTTTGTCCCAGACTCCAACTCCAGCAGGCATCTCATGACAACACAAAGGTGGCTCCTCCCAGGATAGCAAGTAGGTGGAAGGAGGGCCCACATCCCTCTTACTGTTCCTGACATCCAGTCCTCCCAGTCCCATCCCTGGCTCTCTAGCAAGAAACCTGCTGTGGTCTCCTTTCCTTCTCTGAAGTCATCACCAACAGATCACAAAGAACTTCTCCCCAGAATGTTCCAACATAGCTGAAGCACAAGAAAAAGACCTTAATACCAGCTATATGAAGATGGCAAAGGTCCTTAAAGAGGAAATGAGTAAGTCCCTTAAAGAAATCTAAAAACAGTCAGGCAGTGGTGGCGCATGCCTTTAATCCCAGCACTTGGGAGGCAGAGCCAGGTGGATCTCTGTGAGTTCAAGGCCAGCCTGGTCTACAGAGTGAGATCCAGGACAGGCACCAAAACTACACAGAGAAACCCTGTCGAAGAAGAAGAAGAAGAAGAAGGAGGAGGAGGAGGAGGAGGAGGAGGAGGAGGAGGAGGAGAAGGAGAAGGAGAAGGAGGAGGAGAAGGAGAAGAAGAAATCAATCATTCTAGGAAAATACATACAAAAAAATGGTGGAAATGAATAAATCTCTTAAAGAAATACAAGGAAACACAAACAGTTGAAAGAAACAAAAATATTCAAGACCTGAAAATTGAAATAGAACAAATAAAGAAAATACAAACTGAGAGAATTCTGGACATGAAAAATTTAGGAATTCAACAGGAAAAACAGTGGCAAGCTTCACAAACAGAATACAAGAGATGGAAGAGAGAATCTCAGGCATAGAAGATACAACAGAAGAAACAAATATATCAGTCAAATAAATGTTAAATCCAAAAAAATTCCTGACACTATCTCATACTCTATGAAAAGACAAAAATCTAAGAATAATAGGAATAGAGAAAAGAGAAGGATCTCAGCTCAAAGGTCTAGAAAATGTCTTCAACAAAATCATAAAAGAAAATTGCCCTAACCTAAAGAAGGAAGCATGTAGATCACCAAATAGATTGGAACAGAAAAGAGAGTCTATTCACCACATAAAAATCAAAACATGCTGGGCAGTGGTGGCACAAGCCTTTAATCCCAGCACTTGGGAGGCAGAGGCAGGTGGATCTCTGTGAGTTCAAGGCCAGCCTGGTCTACAAAGCAAGTTCCAGGAAAGGCGCAAAGCTACACAGAGAAACCCTGTCTCAAAAAACCAAAAAAAAAAAAAAAAATCAAAACATGCAGAACAATGAAAAATATTAAAAACTACAAGGGAAAAAGACCAAGTACCATATAAAGACAGACATATTAGAATTATATCTGAGATTTCAATGGAGACTCTAAAAGCCAGAAGGACCTGGACAGATGGACTACAGACTCTAAGAGAACACAGATGCCACCCAGACTACTATACCCAGCAAAACTTTCAATTATCACGTATGGAGAAAATAAGATATTTCATAAAGATAAATTTAAACAATATCTGTCTACAAATCCAGGCCTACAGAAGGTGCTAGATGGAAAACTCCAACCTATGGAGGTTAACCACACCTATGAAAACACAGAAAATAAATAATTTCACACCAGCAAAATCAAAAGAAGGGATGAACACACACACACACACACACACACACACACACACACACACACACACACACCATAACCAACAACAGCAAAATAACAGGACTCAACAATCACTGATCATTGAACTCTCTCAATACCAAATGCCTCAATTCCTCCAATAAAAAGACACAGACTAACAGAATGGGTGGGAAAACAGGATTCATCCTTCTATTACATTCAAGAAACACACCTCAACATTAAAGATAGACATTACTTCAGGGTAAAGGATTGGAAAAAGATATTCCAAGCAAATGGACCTGAGAAGCAAGCTGGTACAGCCATTTTAATATCTAACAAAATAGATTTCCAATCAAAATTAATCAAAAGAGATAGGGAAATGACACTACATAATCATCAAAGGAAAAATCCACCAAGACAACATTTCGGTTCTTAACTTCTATGCTCCAAACACAAGGCCACCCATGTTTGCAAAAGAAACACTACAGCTTAACTCCCATATTGACCCTCACACACTGACAGTGAGAGACTTCAGTACCCTACTCTCACCAATGCACAGGTCGTCAGACAAAAACTAAACAGAAAAACACTAGAGCTAACAGGCATTATAAAAGAAATGGACCTAACAGATATTTACAAAACATTCCACTTGAACACAAAAGAGCACAATTCTTCTCAGCATATCACGGAACTTTCTCCAAAATAAACCACATACTCAGTCACAAAGTAAGTCTCCACAGATATAAGAAAATTGAGCCAGGTGGTGGTGGTATACGCCTTTAATCCCAGCACTCGGGAGGTAGAGTCAGGCGGATTTCTGTGAGTTCGAGGCCAGCCTGCTCTCCAAAGCAAGTTCCAGGAAAGGTGCAAAGCTACACAGAGAAACTCTGTCTCAAAAAAGAAAAAAAAAAAAAGGAAAGAAAAAAAAATAATTGAGATAACTCCCTTCATCCATTCCGACCACCATGGATTAAAGCTGGATATCAACAACAACTGGAAGCATACAAACTCATGTAAACAAACTCTCTACTGAATGAAAAATTAGTCAAGACAGAAATAAATTAACGACTTTCTAGAATTCAATGAAAATGAATAGACAACATACCCAATCTTACATTACACAAAGAAAGTGGTGCTAAGAAAAAAGCTCATGGCTTAAGTGTTTACATAAAAAAAAAAAAATGGAGAGATCTCATACTAGCAACTTAACAGTATATCTGAAAGCTCTAGGGAAAACATGAAGTAACCTCCCCAAAAGGAGAAGACAGGAAATAATCAAACTGAGGGTTGAAATCAATAAAATAGATGCAAAGTGAGTACAAAGAATCAGTGAAATGAAGAGTTAGTTCTTTGAGAAAATCAGCAGGATAAACAAACTCTTATGCAAAACTAACTAAACGATGGAAAGAAAATATCCAAATCAACAAAATCAGAAACAAAGGGGGACATAACAATACACAAAGAAAATCAAGAGACTCATAGAACATACCTTTAAAACTTGTACTCTACCAAATTAGAAAATCTAAAAGATTTTCTCAATAGATACCACTTATCAAAGTTAAATCAAGATCAGATAAACTATTTAAATATATCTATAACACCTAGTGAAATAGAAGCAGTCATTAAACGTCTCCAAAAAAAAAAAAGCCCAAGGCCAGTCTTAGCACAGAATTCTACTAGATTGTCAAGTAAGAGTTAATGCCAATGTTCCTCAAATAACCCACAAAACAGAAATTGAAGGAACACTGCCCAATTTATTTTATAAGACCATAGTTACCTTTATACCTTAATCACATAATGAATCAACAAAGAGAGAGAAATACAGACTATTGTCACTTACAAATGTAAATGCAAAAACATTCAATAAAATACTTACAAACTGAATTTAAGAATACATCAAAAAGATTCACCATGATAAAGTAGGTTTCAATCCAGAGATGCAGGGATGGTTCAACATATACAAGTCTGTCAATATAATCCACCATAAACAAACTGAAAGAAAAAATAAACACATGATCATCTCATTAGATACACAAAAGGCCTTTGACAAAACCCAGCACCCCTTCACAAAAAAAGTCCTGTAGAGTAGGGATACAAGGAACATACCTAAACATAATAAAGGCAATTTACAGAAAACCTATAGCCAACATCAAATTAAATAGACAGATATTCGAAGCAACTCCACTACAATCAGAAATAAGACAAGGTTGTCCACTCTCTCCATAACTATTCAATATACTACATGAAGTTTTAGCTAAATCAATGAGAAAATTGATGGAGATTAAGGGGATACATATTGAAAAGGAAAAAGTCAAAGTATCCTTATTTGCAGATGATATGATACCATAAAAACTCCACCAGGTAACTCCTATAGCTGATAAACACTTTCAGAGAAGTGGCTGGATACAAGATTAACTCAAAAAATTCACAGCCTTTCTATATACAGATGGTAAATGGATTGAAAAAGGAACAGGGAAATAACAGCCTCAAATAATATAAAATATCTTGAGGGTAACTCTAACCAAGCAAGTTATAGACTTGTATGACAAAAAAAAAGTCTTTGAAGAAAGAAACTGAAGAAGATATCAGAAGATGGAAAGACCTTCCATGTTCATCAATCAGTAGAATTAACATAAAAAAGTCCATCCTACCAAAAAGAAATCTACAGTTTCAATGCAATCTCCATTAAAATTCCAATACAATTCTTTATAGACCTTAAAAGGACAATACTAAATTTCATATGAAAAAACAAAACAGGATAGCTAAAACAATCCTGAACAATAAAATAACTGCTAGAGTTATCACCATCCCTCATTTCAACTTGTACTACAGAACTATAGCAATAAAAACCATCGTATTGGCATAAAAACAGACATGTTGATGGATGGAATCTAATTGAAGACCCAGACATAAATCCACACATCTATGGACACCTGATTTTTGATAAAGAAGCCAGAAATACACAATGAAAAAAAAAAGACATCATTTTCAGCAAATAGTGCTGGTCAAACAGGATGGCCAAATGTAGAAGAATGCAAGCAGATCTGTATTTATCACAGCTCTCACCCTGCAGAAAACTCAATTCCAAATGCATCAAAGATTTCAATATAAGCCAGATACACTGAACCTGATAGAAGAGAAAGTGAGGAATAGCCTTGAACTCATTGGCACAGGATAAGACTTTCTGAACAGGACACTGATAGCACAGGCACTAAGATCAACAATTAATAAATGAGACCTCATGAAACTGAAAATCTTCTGTAAGGAAAGGACACTATCAATCAGACAAAGTGGCAGCCTACAGAAAGGAAAAAGATTTTTACCGGCTCCACGTCCAATAGCAGACTAATATCCAAAATATATAAAGAACTCAAGAAATTAGATATCAAAAATCCAGATAATCAGTTAAATATGAAGTACAGATATAAACTGAGAATTATCAATAGAGTAATCTTAAATGGCTGAAAACCACTAATAAATGTTCAACATCCCTATACATCAGGGAAACGCAAATCAAAAAGTACTTTGAGATTCCAGCTTACATCTATCAAAATGGCTAACATTGATAACACAAGTTACAGTTCATGTTGGTGTGGATGTGGAGCAAAGGGAACTCTCCTCCATTGTTGGTAGAAGTGCAAACTTGTATAGCCACTCTGGAAATCAATATTGTGGTTTCTCAGAAAGGTGGGAATCAACCTACCTCAAGACCCAGCTACACCACTGTTGGGCATATACCTAAAAGATGTCCCATGTTACCACAAGGACACTTGCTCAGCAATGTTCACTGTGGCTTTTTTCATAATAGCCAGAAACTGGAAACAACCTAAATGTCCCTCAACTGAAGAATGGATAAAGAAAATGTGGTACATTTACACAATGGAGTATTTACTCAGCTACTAAAAACAATGGCATCATGAAATTTATAGGCAAATGGATGGGACTAGAAAAAAAAATCATCCTGAGTGAGGTAACCCAGACCTAGAAAGACATATACAGTATGTATTCATTTATAAGTAAATACTAGCTGTTAAGTAAATGATAACCAAGCTATAATCCATGGACCCAGAGAGGTTAAGTGCTGTGGGATGTTCTGTATGGCAAATGTGTTGCTATGATTGGTTAGTAAGTAAAACACTGATTGGCCAGTAGTCAGGCAGGAGGAAGTACAGATGGGACAAGGAGGAGAAGAATTCTGGGAAGTGGAAGGATGAGTCAGAGACACGGCCAGTCGCTTCCATGACAAGCAGCATGTGAAGATGCCGGTAAGCCACAAGCCATGTGGCAAGGTATAGATTTATGGAAATGGATTAATTTAAGATATAAGAACAGTTAGCAGGAAGCCTGCCACGGCCATGCAGTTTGTAACCAATATAAGTCTCTGTGTTTACTTTGTTGGGTCTGAGCAGCTGTGGGACTGGTGGGTGACAGATTTGTCCTGACTGTGGGCCAGGCAGGAAAACTCTAGCTACAGTTAAGTAAAGAGGAGGGGTCTAGGGTAGGTGCATGGACCTCCCTGAGAAGGGGAAATAAAATAGATTTTACTAGTGGACTGGGGGCAAATGGGGATGGGAACAGAAGGGAGCTGGTGGGGGGTTGTGAAATGGAGTGAGAGAGTATGGTGAGAATTGTGGGAGTAGCCAAGCAATGTCTGATTTGACTTAAGGCCTACTCCATGAGAAGGAACCCATACCCAACACTGCTTGTGTAACCAAAAATCAGAGACTAGATAGCCTAGAGATCCAAACAAGACTGGTCAAAAAAAAAATCAATAAAATGATGCCTAATGATACTTTTCTATACTCATAGATAGGTACTATATCCAATCATCTTCAGAGAGCCATCCTCTTGCAGTAGATGCAAACAGATGCAAAGACCCACAGCTGGACATTATGTAGACAGAGAGTCTAAACTGGAGATCTACACCAAATCACTCCCCCTCAGAGCTCAAGGAATCCCACAGAAGAGGAGGTACAAAGACTATAAAACTCAGAAAGGATGGAAGACACCAGGAGAACATGACCCTCTAAATCAACTAAGCAAGACATATATGAGTTCACAGAGACTAAAACAGCAAGCACAAGGGCTGCATAGGTCTATACCAGATCTTCTGTGTATTTATTATAGGTGTTAGCTTAGTGTTTTTATAGAACTCCTGACTACGAGAACAAATGGGTCTCTAATTCTTTTGCCTGCTAATGGGACTCTTTTCCTCCTGTTGAGTTGCGATGTCCAACTTCAATATGAAAACTTTTGCTTCATCTAATTATATTTTATTTTTTCATATTTGGTTGTTATCTCTAAGTGGCCTGTTCTTTTCTAATGGGATACAGAAAAGGAATGGATCTGGAGGTGAGGGGAGGTAGGAAGAAACTAGGAGGAGTAGATGGAAGGGAAACTATAATCAGGATATATTATATGAGAAAATAATCTATTTTCAATAAAAGAAAATGTTTAAGATTTAAAAAATGGCGTGAGTAGAGAAGATAATAGTTTATTTCCATATTTATATTTATTTGCGTGTGTGTGTGTGTGTGTGTGTGTGTATTAGTGTTACATTTTCCTACCATGGTAGGAAACTGGGGCCCAGTCTTACTAGAGCCTAATGGAATATTACTTCATTGATGATATGGATGGTTGGAGTATTAATTCATCAACTTTCTTCACTCAAGACCTCGGGGTGTCCACAAAGCAGTTTTTCTACTCGGGTGCTGAATGAGCTTTGCTGACATCAAAGACCTTGTGCTGAGAGGCAGAGATATTCAAGTGTCTAAGGTGACCTAAGGGAATCAGCTGGGCATCTGCACCATCTGCTTGGGTCACCAATGCCACATCCTTTATCTACTTTGGAGATAGACAGCATAGGCAGATGAGTGTGTGTCACTTATAGACTGAGACACATACCACCTTGGGGCTTTTCTTCTCCATTACCACTGCAGGGATTTAGGGATCTGGGTTAGAAGTAATTAGTGACAATGAGTTAACCTTTTCCACAGTGATTGCTTCTCTGCTCCATTCTTAGGTAGGTTTTGATCGGACCTATTGCTGTGATATAAATATGCTAATCTATTTTATTTATGTGGTTCTTTGGGGAGGATATAGTTTGCCATGTTATCAAATAAAATAATGGCTGACACTGTTTTCTGCACGATAATAATGTTCTAAGCATGCTACATGTCGCAATTTAATGATTTTCATAACACCATAAATAACTATAGTGCAAATATCACTCCATGCACATATTAGGAATTTGAAACACAGAGAACTTCTAAACAAGTGTTGTGATAATCCTATGTAACAAACAACCCCTACAACAAAAACAAATTATCATAACCAACACACCTATTTTTCATTTCTCACACTCATATGTTCATAGCTTGGTGTGGTGGAATCATCTACCTGGGCTCTAGGCTAAAGATGAGGTTTATTCCAAGCTGCAGATTGAGTTTGGTTCTGCTCAAAATTTCCCACACCAGCAGCTATCTGGAGCATACTTTTTTCATGGCTAATGGCAGAAGCACACAAGACCAAACAAAGTCAACTATATTTAACATTGGTGTTTTATTCAGTAACAGTGAACAAGGACAATTACATAGCCAAACTCATACCACTGTGATGGAAAAAACATAGCCCACATGGCGGGGTGAAAGAAGGCAAAATTTTATAGAACACAAATGCAGTGTTTGCTCTGGATTGTTACAATATCCCAACTCATCAGGCCAGGCTAAAAGGAACTGGTGGGGGATTTGGCAGACACTTGAAACTAACCTTTCAGAAATACATTTCTGAAATCAATTTATACTAATGATGACTTATAGCCAAGGAGGAGAATGGAGAAAATCACATTCTACTTTTAGGATCAGAGGGCACAACTTGAGTCATAAACTACAAATAATCAGGCTTTTAAATGATAGATAAAAAGCGCCAGGAGGTGTGGTTTTACATCAAGACAATGCCACTGGGTGGTGGCCTTACTCTGGTCTTTGGTTTTCTTCAAGCTTTAGCTTCTGCCAGTGAAAAATGAGGGACAGCTCTTGGTGAGCTTGAACGCTTTTCTTTTAACATGCTCTTCACATTGATGCAAGAGAACTTTCAGCTGAGGCCTCATCCCAGTATCTCTGTAACATGTGGGAGCTGGAAGTGCAAAATGCAGAAGAATACTAGCCACTGCAAATGACTGATAAAGAGAACAATCTGGGGCCGACAGTTCACAAAATAAAGTGACCACAATCTTGTTGACAACAATTAATTTCCTTTAATCTTTCCATGACTTATAAAAACTGCAGCTGAATTTCCTGAAAACTCTCCAATGCCTTCTTAATCCTGAGGATGGCACTTGACAAAAAGTTAGCTGAGTCAAAAATTTCAAACACACCCCTTTAGCAATATCTGTAGTTTGCACAAAGTATTATTTGGCTTTTGTGAGCTAGTCTACAAAGGGCAATGAAATATCATTCCAGGAACAACTCAAATATCAAAGAAGGGTGAGGAAGGCCTCGTTGACTTTTCCTCCTGTCTAGTTGATAAAGAAAAGTGCTATTAGGACTATTCCATAGCAGAGTCCTTTTAAAAGGAGAGGTGCTTGCCTAATGGCTATACAAAATCTATTGTTCTATAGGCAATATGTTCAGACATAAGCTCCTTGGGGTTTTGAACTATATATTCTTCCCATATGTGTCTCTTATAATACTTGTTGGTACTTTGCATATAGGAAGCTTCAAATAAATTTTGTTAAGTGAATGAATGAGCAATTCACAAATGAATCTCAATGAATGTTTCTCTCATACCCATGTGAATCATATTGTTCAAATATATTCTGGGTATAATGTGTGGCCAAAAGTTCTCAAGTAAAAGCTCACCTCATCTCAAGTATAATTATCATAGTGCATAGTGCATCAGTGATCAGACATGCATGAGATATGAGCAAATCAAAGAAAGGATAGGTACTCACTCATGGGATGCAAATTTCAATGCATAAAGCAATTACTGTTTTCATTAGCACAGCCAGATGGATTTAAAGACGGGAGATCCAGAGAGTGAATAAAATTCAAGATAAACTACTGGGTAGATACTCCCAGGACTAGTGCAACCAACTTTAGGTTCTATAGGTAAAAGATAACTTGCATGGTACTTGTTATATCGAACATTCACTATGTAAAAGTTTGTTAACAAGAAATGATAAAAATTAAAAAAAAAAACTTGGCCTAATGAATCTGATTTATTCCTTTTGGATTCCCCTAGACTGAACCTGAACTTGGGATTTTATTGTCCAGCTATCTCAACAAATCTTAACTATTTTCAATGGTAAAATATACCAGTGTGGTGTTTTGATCATAAACTACCATTTATGTAGCATCTGTATATGCTAAGTGTCCTGAATCTGTCCTTATACTACACATTATTACATAGATAAGAAGGAAGGAAGGAAATAAATGATGATAGATGAAAGACAGATAGATGATAGATAGATGGATGGATAGACAGAGATAGATATTCATAGATAGATATGATAGATATGCACACATATGCATATGTATAAAATCATGCTAAATATTTCCACATTTGCCCTGTAAGTATGCTTATTTTCATACTTGAGTTTACCCACATTAAGATTAGTACCTTGCCCAGGGTTGCACAACCACGAAGTGGAATCTCAACTTTCAGCCCAGGCTGCTATCTCCAATGTCTTGGTTTTCTGTCCTACCTCACATTTCACAAGAGATCAGAATAAATTAGTGCCCATCAGAACTTCCCTGTACCCTTACATGGAGAAAGACCTGGCTTGCATCCACCTGTACCACGTCTTACCACATTTTGCACTCCCCCACTTAGATTGGTTTGACTTGTTACTCCATGTGCTTCCAAGTCCTGATCTCATTCTCCTTCCTTGGCCACTCTTTGAGCACAAGTCCCTTCCTTGTTCACAATATTAACACCTTGCTGGACACTCAAATTGTCTTTCTATAGTGACTATCCACTTATTTCAGATCTGCCCTCTCCAACATCTATGCCCAGTGTATGTTGAGCCAGTTGTCCAAATATGGCTCACCCTGCCTCATAGCATAGACCAAGTTGTACCTGTTCATTTCATCTTCTACATTTAGAGATGAGTATAGAGCTACACCCATGGCATTTTCTTGGTGTAGTTTCTGGCTGACTTGTGCTTTTAAACTATCTATTGCCTCTGCTTCAGTCTCAGGCAATAGCATGCTTCATGAAAAAAGCTTGTAGTGCAAGTAACTGAGTGTCTTAGGATAAGATTTTGTTCTCTACATACAATTTGGCTTTCACCTACATGACAAGTCCTTTATTAACTCTCATAGAAACTCTGGCTGCTAACCTGGAGCATCCCAGGCCTTCTCCCCAGATCTGAACTACCACCTCTTTCTTCTATGTCCCACACCATCCTCAATTCCCTTCTCCCTGCACCACTGCCTGTAAATTCAAGCTGATGACCCTGTATTTAAATCCCTGAGGAAATACCCACATGTGCTTCTTTTACATTTCAGAGTTTACCTGCTTTAACATCAGCTATGTGATTCAAGAGGAAGAGGCTTTGGGGCAAATGGACCTGAACACAATTCTTTATGATTTTATATCTGAGTATAAACCATTGGGCAACCTAACTATTCAATGGGTTAATTCCCAAATCTCAAAAACTGACACATTAAAGCCTACTCAAGAGAGCTCATTGAATTCCAACAATATCCACTACACACAGTTTTAGGTAGGTATATTATTGAGGTTACTTTGGTCCTTTCTCCATCTTCTGTTAGTAAGATCATATTCTTCTGTCTTGAATGAGGCTAATTGTTTCTGTGTTAATCAGCTTTCTATCTTTGTGACAAATACCTGAGAAGAAAATCTACTTTGATGAAGAAAAAAAAAAGATTCATTTTGGCTTGTAGTTTCAGATGCTTCAATCTGTATTTGCTTGGTCCTGTTATTCTGGGTTCATGGAAACACAATTCATCATTGATTAGCATGTGGCAAAGAAGTTGATCATTGGGAAACAATGAGAGGGGAAGGGAAAGGTAAGCATCCCATCACGCTCTTCAAAGACATGCCTTCCCCCAATGGTCCCTCTTTTTTCCACTAGATCTCAACAGCCACAGCTTCTAACACACTCAGCAACCACAAGCTGTTTACCAAGCCTTTAACACACTGTTGCTGTGGAAACAAACTTTGGGATTAAAATTGCAAGGTCAAGAACACTAAGGATGAAAACTGAAGCCATGCAACTTAGTATGAGATAATGAAGTTGACCAGGAAAGAGGGAGGGCAAGGCTCTGGGGGGGAAAATGAAGATACTTGTGGCAGGCTCCAACTGGCATCCACAAAGCAACACTATTTCACCTTCCCCCAGTAATGTACAAAAGCAGAACCATTTTACGTATTATAGCTAATGCGTTTAATAACAGCAGACTAAATTGTAAGAACAGCTTCTAAGAAATCCTCTGCCCACCCAAATGAATCAAATATGAGGCAGCCTATGAAAACTTCAGATACATATTGGTGACTACACCTCCTGACCATCAAAATGCCCCTTGTGGTGAGACATCCTTGAAACTGAAATTAGGTTGCTCTATTAGGTACCAAGGTATTCTCCCAAACACATATCCTAACAGCAGGGCTGAAGACTCAGAGGACTTGATTATTATAATAGCACTTGCAGTGCTGGAATCAAGGGTGGAAATACCTTTAAAGGAAAATCTGGTGCGCCATAATTTAAGACAGTAAAGCAGTCACCTTACCTTATGCATTAACCACCGGTTTCATGAGCATTCATTAAAACTTCTTTAAAATCTGAGTTGCAGAATGCACAAGTCCCACTCCATTCTCTCTCTGATGTGCTTGCTTGGCTTGGCTTGGCTTCTGTTGCTTTGCTAAGAACCCAAGGAACCTCTACAATATCTTCGACAACATGGTCCTTTCATAGATATACCACTAACTACCATACTGTAACAGTCGCCATAGGATGGGCCCAAAGCTCTGCTTCAATGAATGAGAAAACAAATGCCCTTGGCCACAAGGGTTGGCTCATGGTCATGACACAAGCATGAGCCAGCGAGACTCCACATCACACTCATCTGTTAATTACTGAAAAATAAATTCTGGGATTTCAGGGATTATACTCTGCCAGGAACATGTAAATGTGGAGTTTTCAGTAGAATATTTGCCACAGAGGGAGAGCCAAACTAAGAACTGGTTGACAGGAGAGTGAAGCTGAGCGTTTTAAACATCACTTCTTAGCCACACAAACCCCACAGCCCCTACTACTACAAGACAATTGATACCATTTTGTCTCAGATTCATTTGGGCTGGTTTTCTATCACCTAAGACTGAGACCTCTGACTAACACATTCCCGAAGCATAGAACACAATGTGCTATGTAATATGTGTGCAATGTATCACCAGTATCCTGCAGCCCAGGTAAGACTTGCCACCTTCCCTGAAGAGCATCTCCCTTCTCTCCTCACAATTCCATCAGAGGTATTTCCCACTTGTTTTGTTCTGGTTTGGTCTGGTTTTGTGAGACAGGATTTCACTGTGTAGCCCTGACTGTCCTGGATCTTGCTTTGTAGACCAGGCTGGCCTCGAACTCAGAGATCCACCTGCCTCTGTCTTCTAAGTGCTGTGATTAAAAGGCATCCACCACCATGCCTGGCATTTCTCACTCTTACCCCCTACATCCTGAGTTTCTCCACTGGTCTGGTACTGCTTTCTTTGTGACCAATAGTACAGTGCAATACAGGGTATTCTTGAACTAGGACTGTAGATTCCTAGCCCATGTAGAGGGCTTACATGGCTTGTATGAAGCCACAGATTCAATCTACAGTATCACTAAATATACAGATACGTAAGCATTGTATTGTGCATGGAAGATCTCCATAAATTACTGTGAAGAAGTTCCTTTGTAAAAGCACAAAATACTTTCATGAACAGTGAGGTCACTCATCAAGGCATGACTCTTGCCTTTCAAATGTCTCCCCTTCTTTTCTCTCCCATACCTCCAACCTTGGCCCACCCTACCTGGGTAACACACTCATTCTTCCATCTGGCCTTTACAAAAGATTCCATCTGTCATTCTATCACTAAATTAAGCTTTCAAACTTGCTACTTTCCAGCATGCTCCTTTTCTAAGAAAAGAATCAAAAACATACTGGAAAGTTTTTCAATAAAATAACATTCCCTTCTCATTAATCTACTATTGCCCTCCAACTGTTAGCACTGCCTTTATCCAGTGTTATCTTGGAGCCAAATACTCTCTTACTAAAATTCATATTCTACTTCCTCCTAGCTACAAGATTTTGGTCAATTTATGTCATGATGGCACTGGTAAAGCTTCCACAGCCATACCGATTTCCTTTCCACCCCTTACTTCTTGCTTTTTGTTGCTGTCTAACATTTTTAGGATAAGATTCATATGCCATAAAATTTCCATACTTGAACAGTGTATCGTTCACTAATTTTTAATAGGTAAAGTAATTCTCTGATTTTTCTTTGTAAGTCATATAACCATCACCATGATCGAGTTTTAGAATATTTTGTCATCTCAAAACTGTCTTCTTAAAAGCTGGAGAAATTGCTCATTGCTTAAGAGTGTTTGTTGCCCCTCCAGAGGGTCAGAGTTCTGTTCTCAGCACCCATGTCATGTGACTTCTAACCACCACTAAGTTTAGCTCCAGAGGATCTGATAGCTGCTTCCATCTTCTTGGGTACCCACATCTGTGTGACATGTGTATGGGAGGAGACACACACACACACCCAAAAAATAAAATAAAAATAGAGGTAAATCTTTCAACATGAGTGGGAGCTAGAGAGATGGCATAGTAATTAAGAACTCTTGCAGAATATCCAAGTGGTTCCCAGCACCCATGTCACACAGCTTACAGCCATCAACAACTCCATCTCCAGGGAGGATATGACCCCTCTGGCCTCCATAAAGTCACCTGCGCTCACATGAGCATGCCTACATACAAATCCATGCACAAAAATCAGACTAATGAGAGTAAAATGGAGGACTATTCTTTGTGACAATCTGCAGTTCACCTTAATTTCCACCTTCGACCTCGCTTTGTGATGCCACCCACTTGTAGTCTCTGGACATTCCATGTGTGTGTAAAATCATAGAATATGTTGGTTTCACGTATTTTGCTTATCACATTCAGGTTAATTTTTTCCTCTGTCTTTGGCACATGCAGATCTTGCCTCCATCACAATTTTCTCCCTTCTTTCAACCCATACAGATCATGCATTCTCACTGCTGCCACCATGGTTGCTAATGCCGTTGCCTTGAGGTACAACTTAACATGGGGCACTTTTATAAATTTCCTTAGATTCCTTCTGATCCGTGATTTTCATCTTCATTACTCAGACTCTCCGGGGGGACCTCCGGGCTTCAGCTCTTCCTTGGTTGCCTCACACAGCTATCTTATTTTTCTGGCCATGAAAAGATGAAAAGGCCTTATGAAAAGCATTAGACATATTTGGCAAGAAAATAAATGTTCCTTGAAAAAAAATGATGGATTGGGTATGACGACTTACACTTCTCTTTACCAAAAACAATTACCAAGAGTTGCCCTCAGGTAGGAAAAGGGAACTGGATGGGTAGCCTGCTGATTTCTACAGATTTTATGCCAGAGTAGCTAGCTGCTGGCTAAGTGGACATAGCCTACTGATTTTTGAAACCCCACTGTCATCAGTTCATCCACAAACCAATGTTTTCAGCAACTGAATCCTTTAAGGATATACTCAATGCCATCTAACTAAAATTTGTTCCCACCAAAGTATCTGGCTAATACCTCACATGCAGTGGCTGCTGAATGAATGAATGAGTGAGTGTATGACGAAGCCTTCAAGATTTGAGGACCTGGCCAGAGCAATCTCAGGAAATCCCAAGGGTCAAGGAGTTAATGTTAGCTTTAATAGCTAATTTTAGTTTGCACGTAAAGTCAAAAAAAAAAAAAACATTGGCACTTTTTACACATCAATTTCTCAAAAACACAAAGAACAGTGTAAGAATGTATATATAAGATATCACTGGAAAGATACAGCACAAAAGCAAAATGCTCTGCTGTCCTAGGCTACCTCACTAACATTTGAGAGAATTCTTACATATCACACCTTCTGGCTAGCATTTCTTTACATCCTAGGTAAATTACACTTCTGTTTGAGTTTCTCTTACCATAATGAGTCTTTTGACAAATATTAGTGGCGTACCAACCATGTGCAGGCCTTGTTTTAAGAACTTCTGACAAAGTAGTGAGCAAAATGGAAGAAAAACCACCTTGCATCCATAGGACTCACTTTCTGATGGATCGCATGTCATGGAGTTTTGCTGTTTCAGTATGTGAATTCCAAATACCTGAGAGCCAAAAATCAATCCTGATGTAGCTGCAATATCAAGACAATGACTGAAGCATTGTTCAACTTAATGACCAACAAGTAAGTAAGCCACCCTTCACTCAGAACACCAGTATGCCACAATGACTGCCCCAATAGAAACACATACACCGGTTACCCTTCTATCAATGCTGTTTTCCTGCCCTAGTTCAAAGGTTAGGCTAGATAACTTAGAAAAGGTCACAGAGCTAATAAAAATGAAATATTCTGGGCTGGGGAGATGGCTTAGTAGGTAAAGGCACTTGTCTCCAAACCTGACCTTGAGACACACATGGTGGAGAGAACCAACTCAGACCTCCAAATGCTTGTCTGTGAGCAAACACAAACACACACACAATAAATAAATAAAATGTATTTTTTAATGTTAAATAAAATATACAGAACTGAAATGAATTTAATTTTGGTTACCATGTTTCTTCCCCACCACCGTGTGTGTGTGTGTGTGTGTGTGTGTGTGTGTGTGTGTGTGTGTGTGTGTGTACGAATGTGTATGTTTGTGCATGTGTGTGAACCTGCATGTGAACTTGGGTGTGTAACTGTGTGTGTGCCAGGGTACCCTTTTAGAACTCACAGGACAACCTCTGGTGTTGGTACTTACTTTCCATTTTGTTTTCATTTGTTTGTTTTATTTTGTTTTTTGCTCCATATCCCATGATGGCTGACCCACAAGCTTTGGGGATTCTCCTCTGTCCAACTTACATCTCACTATAGCAGAGCTATACACATCCAACTTTTATGTGAAGCCTGGGGATTTGAACTTGTTACCACACTTGCACAGCAACTGCTTTTACCCACTGAGCCATCTCCCCAGTCCCAAAGGTTATGTTCTCCTGGTCATTGCCCACCTTCACCAAAACCACAGGACAGGGTGACAATACAGAACAGTCACTCTGGTGACAGTGCAGTTCAACTGCACTTTCTCAGGGCAGGTGAAAGCCCCACGTCGTATTTTAAACATGTGGAAGCTCATTTCAGAAGCAACCACCTATGCTGAGAAAGGAGATACCAAACACAGAAGCAGAAACAAAAGAACAGTGGTGTGTCCTTGAAAACTAAGGAGATGGTACCCCAGGAGTCACTCTTCATTATGTGGACTTTATCTTTCTGAAGTGTGTAGATGTCCCCAGTCCTAAGAATAAAAGTGAAGAGGAGGGCACAGAATACTAGTTGCATGGCTTGACAGTAAACCTGAAACAATTGGTGTGATCCTATATTAACTATGTATTTTGAGTATTGTTATATTGCTAATTATTGTCTAGTCAAATCACATTCTCTCAAATGACCAAAAAGAATCCAAGTACCTCACAATTGTAAATTTCTTTTACGTGTCTTGGCATCTAACAGGATGCAGAGCCACAGACTTAGCTCGGCTTAAGGAATGGGGAGTAAATTTAGAAAATCTGGTCGAGAGCTGAATGTTTTTCCCTGTCAAATTTTCTCTTCAAGATTTTATCCTGTTACTCCATGTCATTGAGGACAGCACCAGCTTTTGTTATATTTCCAGATCATTCCAGAAAGGCACATCAGTTATTATTTATCTGATTGAATAATGGGGAGGAAAGCAGACTTCATTTGAAAAATGAGCTTTGCTGTGTTTAGTGAATGCCTTTTAGAAATTCATGCTGAGGGGTAGGTTAGACAAGAAGAGAAGGGAGAGGGAGCAGAGTGAAGGAGAAGGGAGTGGCGGGGAGGGAGAAGCACGGGGGGAGTGTGTTCTCACACATGTGGGTGGGTGAGCATCTTCTGAAAGGCCTTCAGCAGCTCTGGAGGAGCTGTAGCCTGTGCCATGGAAACAGTGGTTACCATGGAAAGCAAGCGCTATTGTGACGAGCTAAAGAGAAGCCTTATGTAAAATCATCTTCCCATGTAACCTTACACTTTCCAGCATTTTAAAAAATGACAGGATTAGAGCACAGTCCTCCTGGGAGTCTCGGGCCTCTCAATGATCTTCCACAACAATCTAGAAAGCGAGATGATAAACTACCGGTCGGCGTGTACCTTGCTAAAGGGCTTGACAAGCAGTTAGGTGGAGAAATTGCCCCCATCGTTTATCTATGGACTACACCGCACACTATTAAATATTTTTCTGTTAAAACCTACAAAGTATTACAAATGAAGAGAAAACATGGCTAAAATTAACTTAAAGCGAATGGTTCCCGACTTACTGAAATCAGAATTGATGGGTTTCATCTGAGTTATCTGTTAATAGGCTTTCTTGGTGCCCTGTGTTGCCATAATCTCCAACGCGCTGGACAAACCAGTACATTTGTTTATCTTTATCACTCTTTGCTTACTAAAGAAGTTGCTTTTATTAAAGAGATCAATCACCAGCCAGCTCGCAGTTTAATAGCCTGTGTGGTGCATGCAAGGTGGAGAAAAAAAAGCAAAAACTAAGGGTAAAGGGTGAGAGACCTGCTTTAACAAAGCCTCCAAAACACTGAAAAAGCAATAAAGTAAGCCTTCAATGCTGTATATGATGCTCAGCATACATACATACATGCTCATACGTTTATATGAATCAAGAGTAGAAAACCTGGTTCCAAAATTAGTAATGCAAAGCATTTTTAAATGTGAAAGTGGATTGGTGCCTTCTTTCAGTTTTCCTCCGGTCACTGTAATAAACAGTCAAGTGATGCTAAATGGAGAGACAGGGAGTACATTATGTGTCTCATACATGGCCCTCTCTCACCTACTTGCATAGGAAAGCCACATATGGGTGTGTCTCACAGCCCCGCCACAAATTGAGGCTGGTGGTTACTCTCTGTTCCCTCATCAGCTTGGCTCCTGAACCTGCTCTCCTGTCCCCAATCTCTCATTGCCAGAACACAGTATCATATTTTATCTCATCTTGTGGGATTAAAAATATTGATTGAAATTTTCACTGGAAGCTTTTCTTAAGAAGACACTTTCTTCCAAACCTCTTCTTTCTACCCTGGTGCGAGTCAGCTATTTTTCTTGCCCAAATGCAGGAAAGCAATTAGGCTCAAGGGTTTTATAAGCTGTACCAGTTCAGGGCAAATCTATTGAACTTTGCTGAGAAATTCTTGTACATGCACTGTGAAAATTTTGATGGTTTTGTCCTCGTCCTTGATAACGACTTAGTTTTAGCAACCTGTGCACCCTGCGTGCTGCCTGCCTTCCAAAGGAGGCCGTCCAATTAAAGTGTCGTGCCGTTAAAGGGAGAAGCACTGAATCTGTTCTGTAAACGGCTGCCGCTTCAAGTATATGCTCTGTAAACGGCTGCTGCTTCAAGTATATGCTGGGCAGAACTGAGGCTAACATGCAAAAGCCATTTAGCAGAAGCAACAGCGGTTAGTGGAAAACGCTGAGCCAATGTGCGCCTCAGGTTTCTCAAGTACCACAGGAGGAGGAGACAGGGCCTCTTCTGTCAGCTGTCCCTGTCGCAGGTGATCACAGCCATGTTTCAGGGAGAACATATGGCCATGTTTATAGCCATCAGGCAGCTTTTCACAGAGCTACAACACCATGTGTCCACCAACTAGCCTTCCTGATTGCAGCTAATTAAGGAGGAAATGAGAGGCATTCTTAAAATAATAGTAAGGCATAGGGTTGTCCAAAGTCCCTACGCCTATTTTTAAGAGTCGATAACAAGAGTGACTAATATAAAATTATGAGAAGCCAGACGTGGACATTTTGCACAAGTCTTCCTCTAAGAAGTGAGACCTAATACAATTTATTCTGCCAATTAATTAAAGAAAAATAAATTACATAAATGCTAAAAAATGCAATCAATACAATGGATCAGGCAGCGTGTTACCTGGGAAATCTGCAAAGGTAAGAAATTATTTAAAAATCCCTAAAGCACCTTTTTAGGGAAAGTATTACAAAACAAACTATTAGAAGAACATCACTACTAATCGCTGAGCACACCCAAGACATGGTGAACTCAGGAAGTCAAATAGGGACTTGAGTTTTGTGACACAGACCTGTAATCACAGCTGAGGAGGAAACAGAAGCAGGGGGATTGCAAATTGAAAGTCAGACTGAGCTTTAGAATGAGTCTGAGGCCACCCTAGGTAACTTAGTGAAACCTTGTCTCAAAATAAAAAGTTAAAAGGAGCTGTAGAGATAATTCAATGGGAGAGGCCCTGGATTCAGTGCTCAGTCCTGCAAAAATAAACCTATGCACAGACTTGTTATGCTTTATTGACTATGTGCTGTAGCCCAACTTGTGGTCCAATTGGATTCTTTGTCTTCTTTTTAATTCCTAATGAAATACAAGAAGTATAAGTCACAGACTGTCTTCCACAATGTGACCAGTGTGATTTCCAACACTTCCCTTCTGGGGTTTGCAAAATTTCTTCCACAAGCCTGGGGGCGGGGTGAGTCTTAGCTGTAGATAATCCTACAGAGAGTGCACCAAGCTCTCCTCGAATTGAAACCTCAGTTTGCAATGTTCCTCACCAATGGGTGGCTCTCTGTGTGCAATTGTGTGTGTGTGCTTACCATCTCTTACAGACTTCTTCCTTCAGGCTCTTTCAAAGTCTGAGGACACGCACATTGGTAATTGTGTCATTTTCCCACCCGCTATTTCTCTGCTTTGCTGAAGCTAGACTATAATGACATTAGATAGGTCGCATGATGGCAATTTAATGGCCTGAACTCAATCCACAGGTACATCATTGTGGTCGCCTTGGGATCTGTTCTCATTGCAGTGGTATGACGGAAAATGCCAGCAGAGGCAGAATGGATGCCTGACTGAAGTGGTGGAGACAGTGTGTCTGTGAGCACAGAGGATGCTGACCCCCATCCCCCAGGATCAGCCCAGCAGCTGTGGAAGCGACTCTGCTGCCCCCATCTCAGCCTCTCACTTTCCTGTTAACACAGAACCTTCCTCAACAGCATCCACCTGTGCCCTGTGCGGAGCGTTGAGGACACATGGACAGACACACCACATGTGGACAAGCTTGCTGTTTCTTAGAATAAGATGCATAAGCGTTTAATTTAAAAACGTATGCACTGAGGAGCTAAGGATGTGGTTCAGTCAGTAAAGTGCCTGCTGTGAAAGCGTGAAGACCTGAGCTTACATCCCAAACACCATGTAACAAAGCCAAATTTGGTGACACACTTTTAATCCTGGCACTGGAAAGGCAGAAGCAGACGGAGTCCTGGGGCTCACTGAACAGACTGTCTAGCCTCACAGGCAAGCTCCAGGCCAAAGAGAGACTCTGTCTCAAAATGAACGAGGTAGATGGCACATGTGGAACAAAATCGAAAGCTTACCTGTAGCCTTCACATGCGTACCCACAGCAGGGATGCCCAGCCCCCACACACGAAATACGCGGATAGTGAAACAAACGTGAAGATGAAGGAATTCTCAAGGCATCTTGAAAGAAAAGACCATAAATTAAAGCATTAAGATGTTTACAAAATTAGCTAATTTTGGTCATCAAATTGACTACATTTAGAATCCACTAAAACCCAAGCAGCTGGGCATGGCTGTGGGGGATTGTTCTGATTGGACCATCTGAGGTTGAAAGACTCACACAAAATCTGGGCCACACCTTTTGGTGGTAGTCGCCATAAGAGGACATGGAAGAAGGAAGCTTTTGCTCTTTGCCTGCTTGCTCTCACTCTAGGTGGCAAGTTCACCTCTTTGCTGCGGAGGCATTCCTTCACTGTTATTAGAACTGACTTCTTCAGGATTTTAACACAGACCAAAAACCAGTTCAGACATTCAGCCTTGTGGCCTGAACACCTGTTATATTTTTGCTCTTTCCATGGAGAGACAGCCATTGTTGGACTAGCCAGACTATAGCCTATAAGCCACTCTAGTAAATCCCCTTTTAATATTTATATGCATGGATATTCATATAGACTAACATACATAAATATATTCATTCTATCAGTTCCATTCTTCTAGAGAATCCTAACTAATACAACTACATACATAGCCAAAGCTCTAACTACCATTTCTATTTCACAGGGAATTTTGTAGCATGACACTCTAGATTTTTCAGAAATGATGCAACAATGTCATTGAATCAGAAGATAGCATATGTATATCTATATCACATGTTTTATATTGTGTGTAAATATATTTTATTAGCTATAAAATATGGAAATGCATTAAAAACTTTTGTAGAAAGATGTCATATAATTACCAGTAGGTATAATTATTGTTATATTAATTTTTTTGTTGTCATTATCTCAAATACAGTGGCCAACAAGTTACAGCCCATTGACAAAATCTGGTCCACAGAAAAAACTAGAAATCTAACAAGAAGTTTAATAATGGACAGAGACATTATCACTCTACTTTTTGTAAATGCTGTCATTTGATTCAAAAGAAATGCCAATTCCTGGAGACAGATGTTCTGTGATCTAGTCTGTGGAAATATTATACATTATATTCCCCTCTGGGAAGCATATTCTCAAATGCTTCACTCTGCAACCACTATGGGTTGGACCTAGCCCTGTGCTACAGAGATGAAGAATGAGGGGTAGGATTCCTGGAGGTCTGCTCACTTCTTTTCATAGCTGCCTGTTACAGTTTGGATCCCAAATATTCTCCAGAGGCTCATTTGGTGAAGAATTGGTTGTCATCCTGTGGTGATATCGGGAGGTATTGGAATCTTTAAGAGCTGAGGCCAGAAGGGAGGAAGCTAGGTCATCGGGTTCTATCCTTGAAGGGGATGCTAGGAAACTGGTCTCTTCCCGAGACGAGCAGCTCTGCTACCACACTCTCCCTTAACGATGTTCTGCCTCACCACGTGGCCCAAAGGAACAGAGCAAAATGACAATGAATGGAAACCAGTGAAAGGAGTGCCGAAAGAAACCTTTCCTTTTTTTTTTTTTTAGGTTGTTTATCTTAGATCTTTTGTCATTGTACTAGAACATTAACCAACACATTGCTTTGCCCTTCACCTTTCTTCCCAGCTATAAGTCACAGTGCAATAGCTACTTTATGATTATAGGGTCAATGAATAACGGCTTTACCTGTTCAGCATGGCAGGAGAGAAAGGTGGTAAAAGCCTGGGATTTCAACTGCACCGCTAAGACAGCATGTTGATTCCGAACTATCTATTCTTGGATTTATTATTATAGTCAGTGAACAGTTGCTTTCTGTTGCTGGCAGGGTAGTACTTAAACAGGTACACCCTGAATTTCAGGAAGGATACAAGTGTGTGGAGATTTTTTTAATGGAAATTCTGATTAAGTAGATGAGGTCCGGGACCCAGCTCTCAAAGAAGTCCCGCCGGTTGGTGAGCTGGACCTTGAGCAGCAAGATGACAGCTTTCGGATATTTGAACAAACACCACCATACCCCACACAACCCCAGAAATGTATCTCCTAGTGAGCAAAGTCTGTCTATTATTCAACTCTTTTTAGATGTGAAAAGCTATAATATATAATACATACGATATTATACAAATATCTTGACCCTTTCTTTAAAATATACAAGTTTCTTGACCCTTTCTTTAAAATACAGGACCTTTTTACCTTTGTGGGGTTTTGAAAGATATCCATGTCTTACTTTTTTCACTTTTCCACAATAAGCAAGGGGTTTGCTATACCATGGGGTATGTGAATTTGCTGGAGTGTTTTGTGCATTCTTTATTAGTTAAATAAAAAATGTTGAGAGTTCTAAGAACAAATGGAAATTAGCAAAAGGGCAGGGAAAGCTTACATGTCTACAAAGTTCTATTTTTTCCTTTGAAGTCATCAGTATTAAAGAAAGAATATGGTATTAGATGTTAAATGCTATCATCAAACAGAAGCTAACGTTTAAGTATTTTGAACTGCAGAAGAGGAGTTCAGGGGCCAGCCTGCTTTAAAGTTTGTCGCATTCTTGACTGCACACCCACTCCCAGGACCTGCCAAGCAGCTTTTTGCACAAGGACTGCTTATGCCTTCTGTGGCTCTCAGCACTCGTAGGGTTGATGAGGAGCCTTTAATTAGTCATTAGCCAATTTCATTTTGGATTTGTATAAGAATCATCATTCAAAACTGAGGAGCTGAGGTCAAATTTAAAAGATGATGTCCTCAAGGCCAGAAAGACAAACTATGGGATTTGATTTTTTTTTTAAAGTCATTGAAAATTTTCAATCTTTGTCATGTCAATGATTTTAATGAAATTTCTGCAAATTTCCGTTTCCACTCAAGGACTCTTCCATGTGACACTAAGGTTAGCACTTACCCACACAGGTAAAAGTGACACAAGGCAGGAAACCAATAGATCTAGACTCTACACTCAGCTCAGACCCAGGCTGAGAATATTGGCTCGTCTCAGCCTCTGTGGCACTTCATTTTATCATCTGCAATCTTTAAATACATAGTACAATGATTCATCCTCTCCAACCAAGCCATTTACATTCTAATTATTGAAACCTAAGATTATTTCATATGGTAGGAACTTACATGATCTTGTGAGTTGAATTATGCCCTCCCAAAGGATATATTAAAGTCCTAACCCACTGATACCTGTGCTTATAATGCTATTGGAAACAGGTTCTCTGCATGTGTACTAAAGTTAAGATGGAGTCACTGTGGTGGCCCAGAGTCAATATGATTGGTGTGTACATAAGAAATGATTGTGTTAAAGCACAGATTCCCAATGTCATTCCTTGAGTAGAGAAATGTGGTTCTGAGTCCAAGAATGCTACCAAATTGAGACACTACCAGAAGGTAGCAAGAATCAGGAAGGATTCGGATGAATCTCTTCAGAAGGAAGGTCTTGCTGACAGCTATATTTCAAGCTATAAGCATTTGCGTCTTGTTACAGTGGCCCTTGAGACAGAAATCACTTGGTAAAAAAAAAAAAAGCGGGGCTGGAGAGATGGCTCAGAGGTTAAGAGCACTGACTGCTCTTCCAGAGGTCCTGAGTTCAATTCCCAGCAACCACATGGTGGCTCACAACCATCTACAATGAGAGATCTGGCACCCTCTTCTGGCCTGCAGTCATACATGCTGTATACATAATAAATAAATAAATCTTTAAAAAAAAAAAAAAAAAAAAAAAAGCTTTTTTGTAAATATGATTAAACATAGTGAGGTGGAAAGATTATTCTTAGCTTTCAGGTAGACTCATAGCAGTCACAAGGGTCCTATGAGAAGGCAAGGCAGGAGAATCAGAGTCTTAAAAGGCAGGCGATATGACAATGAGAACAGAAAGTCTGAGTCTGAAAGATATTTGTCGGCCTTCAAAAATGTTTGAGTGTTAGTCCTGGAGATGGAGGAAGCCCCATGTTAAGGAATGTAGCAGGTGTCTGGAATCTCGAAAAGACAAAGAAGCAAACTGTCAATCAGAGTTCAGTAGCTACATGGATTTGACAGTTTACTGAACCAGTAAAGCTTATTTTGGACATTTTTGTTTAGACAGGGAGTCATGTAACCCTTACTAGCCTCCAGTTCACTAGATAGCCAAGGATGACTTTGAATTTCTCACTCCCTCTTCTTCCTCTCCCTGAGAACTGAGATTACTGGTGTGCATCACCATACCTGGTTTAGGATGTTCTGAGAATCAAGCTCACATCCACTAGGCACTGTACCAGCTGAGCTACAACCCAGCCCTATTTTGGACCCATGACTTTTTGAACCACAATACCAACTTATCTGGATCTAGAATCAAGTAAAATATCAGCTACTTGGTACACTTATAAAGGATGTTCCTGATCAGGTTATTTGAAGTGGAAAGACCTACTCTAAATTTGGGTGGTACCTATGGCATCCAGATAATAGACAATCTGAGGGAAAGGCTCTGCTTTTTGCCTGCTTGCCTTCACAGTGTGCTGGCAAGTTCATCAACCCTACTGCTGCTTCCGCCTCTGCTGTTTCTATTCTCTGATGACATCAGAACCCAGAATCTTCATCCTTGCCACATAGACTGAAGACAACTGACTCTCCTACAGGATCTTCCTCCAGAATCCTCCAGGCCTTCAGTACTAGTCTAAGACTGTTGAGACATCCAACATATACTATGTATTAAATACCAAAACTTTCAGTTAGTGAATAAATTAATGAATCAAATCATTTAAAATGAACAAAAGCATGTAGACCCAATTGTTTACCTACACCCTTTAGACATAATGATCCTCTACTAACCACGATGAATATATCCCAATGGCTTCCCTAGATCAGATCTTCTGTAAATGCTTTGACTTTGACTAATTCAACACTGAGGCCAGGACTAAAGAGCTGCCTCCATGGTTAAGAGCACTTGTTGCTCTTTCAGAGGACCCAGGTTCAATTCCCAGAATCAAATGGTGGCTGACAACCACCTGTAACTCCAGTTGCAGGGAATCTGACGACCTCTTCTGGCCTCTGTAGGTACTGCATGAACATGATGCACATGCATGCTGGCAAAACAATTACACATAAAAATAA